AGTTTCCCTTCCATGGGGGGAAGGGTCACACCACTCAGTGAAGCCCCCCTCACCCCTCAGTGAATCCCCCCTCTTTCCTCAGTGAAGCCCCCCTCTCCCCTCAGTGAAGCACCCCTCAGTGAAGCCCCCCTCTCCCCTCAGTGAAGCCCCCCTCACTCCTCAGTGAAGCCCCCCTCACTCCTCAGTGAAGCCCCCCTCACCCCTCAGTGAAGCCCCCCTCTCCCCTCAGTGAAGCCCCCCTCACCCCTCAGTGAAGCCCCCCTCTCCCCTCAGTGAGGCCCCCTCACCCCTCAGCGAAGCCCCCCTCTCCCCTCAGTGAAGCCCCCCCTCTCCCGTCGCCTCCTTGCTGTATGACAAGTAGCGGTTCGCTCTTCATATAGGAATTGACAGTTGCCGTCAGGGGCATGTTGCCTAGCAACCCCTCCACTGGCCAGCTGGTCATGTGACCGTGTTAGAATCCCGAATTGATTTCTTGACGGAACGCGGAATGAGAATCTCCTAAACTGACGATGTTCCAGCGGAGTGGCTGGTGCCCCCCCCATCAGTCTGCTCAATGAACTGATCTGTGTCATCTACCCAGGAGAGAGACACATGGGGGGGGGTAACATGAATAGACAGTATATGGGGGGGGACATGAATAGACAGTATATATGGGGGGGGGGGGGACATGAATATACAGTATATAGGGGGGGGACATGAATAGACAGTATATAGGGGGGACATGAATAGACATTATATGGGGGGGGACATGAATAGACGGTATATAGGGGGAGGGGGCATGAATAGACAGTATATAGGGGGAGGGGGCATGAATAGACAGTATATGGGGGGGGGGGACATGAATAGACAGTATATATGGGGGGGGACATGAATAGACAGTATATAGGGGGGGGGGCATGAATAGACAGTATATGGGGGGGGGGACATGAATAGACATTATATGGGGGGGGGGACATGAATAGACAGTATATGGGGGGGGGGGACATGAATAGACATTATATGGGGGGGGGGACATGAATAGACAGTATATGGGGGGGGGGACATGAATAGACAGTATATGGGGGGGGACATGAATAGACAGTATATGGGGGGGGGGGGACATGAATAGACAGTATATAGGGGGGGGACATGAATAGACAGTATATAGGGGGGGGGGGGGGGGGGACATGAATAGACAGTTATATGGGGGGGGGGGGGGGACATGAATAGACAGTATATGGGGGGGGGGGCATGAATAGACAGTATATAGGGGGGGGGGACATGAATAGACATTATATGGGGGGGGACATGAATAGACAGTATATGGGGGGGGGGGGCATGAATAGACAGTATATAGGGGGGGGGGCATGAATAGACAGTATATAGGGGGGGGGACATGAATAGACAGTATATAGGGGGGGGGGCATGAATAGACAGTATATAGGGGGGGGGGGCATGAATAGACATGAATAGACAGTATATAGGGGGGGGGACATGAATAGACAGTATATATGAATTAGGGGGGGACATGAATAGACAGTATATAGGGGGGGGGGCATGAATAGACAGTATATAGGGGGGGGACATGAATAGACAGTATATATAGGGGGGGGGACATGAATAGACAGTTATATAGGGGGGGGGGACATGAATAGACAGTATATAGGGGGGGGGACATGAATAGACAGTATATAGGGGGGGGGACATGAATAGACAGTATATGGGGGGGGACATGAATAGACAGTCTATATAGTATATAGGGGGGGGGAGGGGGGGGGCATGAATAGACAGTATATAGGGGGAGGGGGCATGAATAGACAGTATATAGGGGGGGGGGCATGAATAGACAGTATATAGGGGGGGGGGCATGAATAGACAGTATATAGGGGGGGGGCATGAATAGACAGTATATAGGGGGGGGGGACATGAATAGACAGTATATAGGGGGGGGGGACATGAATAGACAGTATATAGGGGGGGACATGAATAGACAGTATATATAGGGGGGGACATGAATAGACAGTATATAGGGGGGGACATGAATAGACAGTATATAGGGGGGGACATGAATAGACAGTATATAGGGGGGGGGGACATGAATAGACAGTATATGGGGGGGAGGAATAGACAGTATATAGGGGGGGGACATGAATAGACAGTATATAGGGGGGGGGGGGCATGAATAGACAGTATATACGGGGGAGGGGGGGACAGTATGAATGAATAGACAGTATAGGGGGGGGGGGGGGAATAGACAGTATATCAGGGGGGGGGACATGAATAGACAGTATATATAGGGGGAGGGGGCATGAATAGACATGAATAGTATATGAATAGGGGGGGGGGCATGAATAGACAGTATATAGGGGGGGGGGGCATGAATAGACAGTATATAGGGGGAGGGGGCATGAATAGACAGTATATAGGGGGAGGGGGCATGAATAGACGGTATATATATAGGGGGGGACATGAATAGACATATAGGGGGACAGGGGGCATGAATAGACATGAATAGACAGTATATAGGGGGATAACAGGGGGCATGATGAATAGACAGTATATAGGGGGGGGGAGGGGGACATGAATAGAATAGACAGTATATAGGTGAGGGGCATGAATAGACAGTATATAGGGGGAGGGGGCATGAATAGACAGTATATAGGGGGAGGGGGCATGAATAGACAGTATATAGGGGGAGGGGGACATGAATAGACAGTATATATAGGGGGAGGGGTATATAGGCATGAATAGACAGTATATATAGGGGGAGGGGGACATGAATAGACAGTATATAGTGGGGGACATGGGACAGTATATAGTGAGGGGGGGACATGAATAGACAGTATATATGGGGGGACATGAATAGACAGTATATAGGGGGGGACATGAATAGACAGTATATAGGGGGGGGGACATGAATAGACAGTATATAGGGGGAGGGGGCATGAATAGACAGTATATAGACATGAATAGGTATATAGGGGGGGGGACATGAATAGACAGTATATAGGGGGGGACATGAATAGACGGTATATAGGGGGGGACATGAATAGACAGTATATAGGGGGGGACATGAATAGACAGTATATAGGGGGAGGGGGCATGAATAGACGGTATATAGGGGGGGACATGAATAGACAGTATATGGGGGGGGACATGAATAGACGGTATATAGGGGGGGACATGAATAGACAGTATATAGGGGGGGACATGAATAGACAGTATATAGGGGGAGGGGGCATGAATAGACGGTATATAGGGGGGGACATGAATAGACAGTATATAGGGGGGGACATGAATAGACAGTATATAGGGGGGGACATGAATAGACGGTATATAGGGGGGGACATGAATAGACAGTATATAGGGGGGGACATGAATAGACAGTATATAGGGGGGGACATGAATAGACAGTATATAGGGGGGGGACATGAATAGACAGTATATAGGGGGAGGGGGCATGAATAGACGGTATATAGGGGGACACACAGTATATAGGACACCCCATACACCCATATACCGGAGATACGAGGACTCAGCGAGCGGATCCTTCTAGAAGTGAATGGCCCCCATTGGGTGGAGCCCCCCCACAAAGGTTACTTCTTGTAATGGGAGGAATGACTTCGGATACATTGTATCACCTGGACGGCCCTTTTGTTACATCGGACACTTTGTGCTGCACCACAGGAGATGATGGAGCTATAGAAATAGAGAATATTAGTATTTAAAATTCCATCAACCCGTCTGAGCCGAACAGATTTAAAGTAAAGGTCATATAGCCGGGGGGGATATTCTCCAAAACAGCCCCCCCCCCGGATTGTACTGCCAGATGTCGCTTTTCAACTCCGCTTCAGTTATTCGAAAATGGGAAGTCGGATCAGACACAAAGTTATAGAAATGTCAAACCTCTCATTTTGCGGGGTGGTGTGTGTGTGGGGGGAGTACATAACATGTGGGGGGGTGTATATGACATGTGCGGGTGTGGGGAGGGGTGTACATAACATGTGCGGGTGTGGGGGGGTACATAACATGTGGGGGGTGTGTATATGACGTGTGTGGGGGGGGTACATAACATGTGGGGGTTGTACATGACATGTGCGGGTGTGTGGGGGGGGTACATAACATGTGGGGGGGTGTACATGACATGTGCGGGTTGTGGGGAGGGGTGTACATACATAACATGTGCGGGTGTGGGGGGGGTACATAACATGTGGGGGGGTGTACATATACTGTATATTGGAATGTCTTTAGCAGAACTTCTATCTAAATGAAGTTCTGGGGTTTAGATGTATATGGAGGCTGTGCAGTGACATCATAGCAAAGGGGGTGTGATGATGTCATAAGAAGACAGGGATCAGGGACATGGAATGGCTGCTCTCTGTCTAGTCTATCCTTCTAATCTCTCTTCCTTCTCCATCTCTGTTTGGTCTCATCACTCCCTCTATCTAGCGCCATCTACATCTCTCTCTGTCTGCTTTAGTCTTCCTTTCCCTCGTCCCTTTTATTTTTCCTTTCCGCTTTCCTTCCCTTTTTCTATCCCCCCCCCCTTCCCCATTTTTCCCTTTTTCCTCACTTCCCTTTTTACCCATTCCTTTGTTTCCCTTTCCTTTCCTTTTATTTTCCCTTTTCTTTTCTCCTTTCCGCTCTCCTTCTCTTTTTCTGCCCCCCCCCCCCTTTTCCTCTCCTCTTCCCTCCATCTGTATATCTGTCTTCTTTATTTCCTCTCATTTCCTCTTTCTTTCTCCCTTCCCTCATTCTCTTTCTATCTCTCCCCCCTTTTATCTCTCTGTATATTTATATTTTTATACTTTTATTCTATGTCTTTTTGTCTATCTGGCGTTCTGCCCCCCCCCCCCAGTATTTGTAGCGGTTCCCGTGTACCACGTTCTGTAGAGTCGGATGCAGTTCTATTAGTCAGGTTTGTTTTGTTGAATTTGGTGTCACGGATGGAGATGAGCGGGAAGCCTGTGGCTGAGCCATGACCCCCCTCCTGTATTACAGAGTCCCTTCTTACTGTCCCCAGGGTCTGCGAGTGATGAGGGGGAGTCGGACTCGGTGACCGTGGCGTTTGACGATGGAGATCGGGGAAGAATCACACTCAACAACATCCGCCTGCTGCCTCCCGACTTCACCATTCAGTGTAAGTGTTGATCCACCTAATCCGAGTCCGGGGGGGGGGGGGGGGGACCGCAGCTTGTACCGTGTGTCTTCCAGTCTGGGGGGGGGGGCTGCAGCTTGTACCGTGTGTCTTCCAGTCTGGGGGGGGCTGCAGCTTGTACCATGTGTCTTCCAGTCTGGGGGGGACTGCAGCTTGTACCATGTGTCTTCCAGTCTGGGGGGGACTGCAGCTTGTATTGTGTCTTCCAGTCTGGGGGGGACTGCAGCTTGTATTGTGTCTTCCAGTCGTTGGGACTGCAGCTTGTACCGTGTGTCTTCCAGTACGGGGGGGGGGGGCTGCAGCTTGTACCGTGTGTCTTCCAGTATGGGGGGGACTGCAGCTTGTATTGTGTCTTCCAGTCGGGGGGGGGGGGGCTGCAGCTTGTGCCATGTGTCTTCCAGTATGGGGGGGACTGCAGCTTGTACCGTGTGTCTTCCAGTCGGGGGGACTGCAGCTTGTACCGTGTGTCTTCCAGTACGGGGGGGGGCTGCAGCTTGTACCATGTGTCTTCCAGTCTGGGGGGGACTGCAACTTGTATTGTGTGTCTTCCAGTCTGGGGGGGACTGCAGCTTGTACCGTGTGTCTTCCAGTCTGGGGGGGACTGCAGCTTGTACCATGTGTCTTCCAGTCTGGGGGGGACTGCAGCTTGTACCGTGTGTCTTCCATTCTGGGGGGGACTGCAGCTTGTACCATGTGTCTTCCAGTCTGGGGGGGACTGCAGCTTGTACCATGTGTCTTCCAGTCTGGGGGGGACTGCAGCTTGTACCGTGTGTCTTCCAGTCTGGGGGGGGCTGCAGCTTGTACCGTGTGTCTTCCAGTCTGGGGGGACTGCAGCTTGTACCATGTGTCTTCCAGTCTGGGGGGGACTGCAGCTTGTACCGTGTGTCTTCCAGTCGGGGGGGGGGACTGCAGCTTGTACCGTGTGTCTTCCAGTCTGGGGGGGGACTGCAGCTTGTATTGTGTCTTCCAGTCTGGGGGGGACTGCAGCTTGTACCGTGTGTCTTCCAGTCTGGGGGGGACTGCAGCTTGTACCGTGTGTATTCCAGTCTGGGGGGGACTGCAGCTTGTATTGTGTCTTCCAGTCGGGGGGGGACTGCAGCTTGTACCGTGTGTCTTCCATTCTGGGGGGGACTGCAGCTTGTACCGTGTGTCTTCCAGTCTGGGGGAGACTGCAGCTTGTACCGTGTGTCTTCCAGTCTGGGGGGGGGACTGCAGCTTTGTACCGTGTGTCTTCCAGTCTGGGGGGGGACTGCAGCTTGTATTGTGTCTTCCAGTCTGGGGGGGACTGCAGCTTGTACCGTGTGTCTTCCAGTCTGGGGGGGGACTGCAGCTTGTACCATGTGTCTTCCAGTCTGGGGGGGGACTGCAGCTTGTATTGTGTCTTCCAGTCTGGGGGGGACTGCAGCTTGTACCGTGTGTCTTCCAGTCTGGGGGGGACTGCAGCTTGTACCATGTGTCTTCCAGTCTGGGGGGGGGACTGCAGCTTGTGTGTCTTTTACATTTCTGCTCGATAAATGGAGCTGCGATTTAGAATTCAGGACTAATGACAAACCAGGGACCAGATTGTGTTTTTCTGTCGATGTTCTTGGAGCCAACCTGGATGGAACTGGCCCATGTGACCTCTGACAGTAGATACTTCTGGCCATATTATGGATTGATTGGAGCTCCCAATGGTGGTGTTGGGTCCCTCAGCCTTGGGAACTACCATAGAGAAGAAGGTGGAAGTCTAGTCTCTGAGTTGTTAAGCCATTTCTTGGACCTACTGTGGTTCAGCAGCTTTGCAGGGACAGTGCACCGAAGCAACTCCTCACCCCGCTGGTTTCCTCTACAGTTTCTTGATGGTTCTGTTTGCAGGCCCTGGGCCCAGATAGAGCTTTCTTGTCAACACATCATATAATAAGGTGGTCCAAATGCAATTAACAAAGAGCTGGGCCAGTGCGACACAGGTCCCTAGGTGTTCTGGCTAGTGCACTAAGGAACCCACATGGTCACCACTCTGGCCCATGTAAATGATCGCCACCAATCATATCTATAAAGCAGCTGGTCATGGGTTGTCCCAGGTATAGGCTTAGGCGTAAGTGTGTGTCAGGTCCATCTCCGGCCCTTGGGATGGCATAGGGCTTTCATGCACAACCTCCATGTTCCCAAAGCCATGGTTGTGGTTTCCCCTTCTGTGCCATAGGCCCCACCACATGGGCCACTATGAAGAGGTCCACACTGCTCCATCTTCCCCTCCAGACCCCAAACCCCCCATCTCTGGCCCCTTTCACGCTTCATATGGGTCTCCCCCTTAGCTCCACACCAATGGATGGGTACAATCTATCAAGGGCAGTAACCCCCGTCTTACAGGCTGGCAAGTTAAAGGTAGCATGGAAACCCCTTTAAAACTCTTTAGACTTTAATTTAAAACCCGAGGCCTTCTTGAACCCTTCCTTTTACCCATGTAAGGTCAATATTCATAGTAATAAACTGTTCCCAATACACAGTTTGATTTATCGGCCTTCCTATTGATCTGCAGGCACAGAACCCTCCCCAGCTCTACTGCTGTCAGCTGAAAGCCGTTTAGAACTAAGCGGTTTGCCAGTAATACAACTACTACATCGGAGTCCTCACAGACCCCAGGCCTGGACAACCGAGAGGCAGCAGACACATCGAGAAACACTGGCAAGAAAACTTGAGTAAGGAGAAATCAGGTGAGTGACAGGAAGTGAAAGCCACGAGTAAAGCATCCATTGTTCCGAAAATATCACTTTTGAGTGGATTAGATACAAATTTTGCATTTAGAGGCAGAATATATACGTTTTATAAGGAGTCTTGCTGTGGACACGTGCCTGCTGGGATTTGGAGCCTAGTCAAGGGTACGGCTACAGTTCGGATAAAAAAAAAAAAGTAATTGTCATTTTACTAAATTGTTTCATTATGGATCATTTATATGTCATGTTTCTCTTTTTCCTGCAGATAAAGTGGATGTGTTCAACTCAGGTGCAAAGGACTCCACTGCCTGCCACCAACTTCCTGGGTCGCTCGAGCAGTATGGAGTTGAGCTGGCCTTCTCAAGGCAAGCGTCGAGCTGGAAACAAGACAAGCGGTGGTCTTCACGATCCCTTCCAATCCCAAGGGAGCATCAAAAAAACAAAAATCTCGGGAGCAGCCACATGTATTCGGTAATGGTTTTGGGGCAGACTCCTTCAGCAGCCTGGCCAACTCCTACAGCCCCTTTGGAGGCAGTGCCAACAGTGGCATTGCAGCAGGACAAAAGCCAATACGGACAAAGAAAGGGGAGAGGCCGGAGGAGGAGGACAAGGGCAAGGGCGGGAAACGCAAGTCGGGGGTAACGAGTTTCTAGTCAAGCTTGACCACGAGGGAGTTATGTCTCCGAAAACAAAGAACGGTAAAGCCCTCCTGCTGTGCGACAAAGACTTTGGGCTGCGGATTGGACAGAGCTATGGTGCTTCATCGGGATTGGCCAAGGACAAGAAACGGAAGCCACCTCTGCACGAGCACCTGTCCATGGGCCTTGCACTTGGGAAGTACACTGGGCAAGCCGAAATATGGCGTGAACTGTGACAGTGACTGCTCATTCTCTGATCAGGATGAGGAGGATAGTGCGGGGGGACTGCGAGCAAGGGTTCAGTCTAGATTTCTGGCAGGACTATCGGTTTCTTCTTCCTCCTCTGGGTCTTCTTCATCTTCTAGCTCTGGCTCCTTATCCAGCTCCAGCATATGCTCTACGGACAATGAGGACTTTTCGGAGAGTTCAGACGAAGCGGACTCTGCCATGCTTTTGCAGCCCTGCCTCACGCATCCTGTGCCTGCTTTGTTAGCGCAGCACGCCGAGGATGGCGGACAAGGGTCCCGGGGTTGCTTTGTCTCAGGACAAAAAGCCAAACAGAGGAGGAAAGGGACCCCTTCAAATTTTCCTAAAACCAAAGAGCCCCTACCTAGACAGCAACGCCTGCCCTCTGTGGAAAACCGGCCAAAGATTTCCACCTTCCTACCCGCACGCCAGCTCTGGAGGTGGTCCGGAGAGCCTACTCAGGTTAAGACGTCTTCCTTACGGCACTTGACACCCCAATCGGTACACTTGTTATTTGTTCTACAGTTCACAAAAACATCCCTCAAGTTCAGCCTTTCATCTTCCATAATCCCAACGTCAGGACTAGGACTGGTCATCCTTTAGATTGAACATTAGGAGAGATTTGAAATGTGTGACGCCATTGGCCTTCTGTGAGATCCTGGAAAGGCGAAGAATCCCAAATATAGTGAGAAGGTCCATACTGTGCTGGAACATCTTCTCATGAGATTTGGGATCCTCAGCTTTTCTGGTCGGAGGACCCGTGAAGGACCAAGAGCACAAGATGGAGTAAGATGAGTAGGTTCTTCCCTTTTCTGCTTAGGTTTCATTTTATCATGGAGGAGTGGAAATTTAGAATGTAAGTGGACCTGTCATTTTATAGCCCAGGGCTTACCTTTATTCTCTCTCATTCTCTTCCAAAATATCTATAACATCCAGCTGGTTGGAAGATTTCTATCTACATTTTATCTTCATGTGTGCCACTGTTTTGATAGAATGGTTCTTATAATATTCCCTTACCTCCTCCTCCCGGTGGCCCTTTAGGTGGGCATTAATGCCCAGGAGAAAATAGAGGAGAGAGAGGTGCGCCAGACTGAGCGTAGAAGGAAGGTAAACGTTTATTGCACACAGGTTTAAAAAAACTCACAAGAGGTTGGTGTATATCAGGCATCAAATATTGAATTGGAGGACGTCATCCGAGCGGGATCTCTGGAGCGGATGGCTGAGGTTCCAGGGGCCAAGGCTACTGTGATAGCTGGTGCTCATTAGCGGGTCCCAAGGGAGGAGTGAGGAGGGCAGATGGATGTCCAGGGAGTCGCGGTGCCGGGAGGAACCGGATCTCTAAAGCAGGTGTGCCTGGCCTCTCCAGCCAGCGTGGGTTAGGTCACGTAGGGAAAAGCCAGCCGGGAACGCAGCCAAGATGGCCGCCGGGCGGAAGTGACGTCAGGACGTAGCATGGAGCCGCAGGAAGGGGGCGGTCTCCGCGACTCCCTGGAGTCTGCAAGATCCCCCCACTCCCCCCCACCCAGAACTACCAAAGCTGCATGACCCCCACCATACATCCCATACCCCCTCCACTATCATTTCTTTCCCCCCTTCCCTCTTAGTCCACGGAGAAGTCCCTATATTCTCCTACAGCAGAACTTCCTCATCTCCTTATGACTTTTATGGGTATTATACCCACAAGTACCTCTCCTGCGCCAATACGCACTTCTGTCCCTTAATGCCCAGGAGGCTGCAAAGCTTCTGTACCATATGATTGGCTCTCACAGCGGTCATGTGATCGTAAACCTGTCCGGGAAAAAAGACACAAGTCCACCTAGCGCAACCAATAGTAAAAAAAAAAAATAGATGCCCACGAATGATCGGGAGGAAGGCTTCATCCAGTTTGCTCCATAGACGGACCAGCACTGTGCTATTCAGATGATTGGCTCCTTGTACTACCGCTCCCTCTACCAGTCTGAGCTTTACTGTATAGGCCAAGAAAGAAGCTGAAGTCAAGACAAATTCTAGTACTTTCCTATTTTGCCTTCATGAAAAAAATGATTTTGTGTATTAATATATATGTAGAGCGGCCATACAGTGAGGAACAGAAGTATTTGAACCCCTGCGATTCTGCAGGTTCTCCCACTTCTCCATCATGGAGGGTCTGACATTCACATTGCAGGGGATTCCCACTCTGAGGACAGAATTCAGGAGATCACATTGCAGGGGATTCCCACTCTGAGGACAGAATTCAGGAGATCACATTGCAGGGGATTCCCACTCTGAGGACAGAATTCAGGAGATCACATTGCAGGGGATTCCCACTCTGAGGACAGAATTCAGGAGATCACATTGCAGGGGGATTCCCACTCTGAGGACAGAATTCAGGAGATCACATTGCAAGGGATTCCCACTCTGAGGACAGAATTCAGGAGATCACATTGCAGGGGATTCCCACTCTGAGGACAGAATTCAGGAGATCACATTGCAGGGGATTCCCACTCTCAGGACAGAATTCAGGAGATCACATTGCAGGGGATTCCCACTCTGAGGACAGAATTCAGGAGATCACATTGCAGGGGATTCCCACTCTGAAGACAGAATTCAGGAGATCACATTGCAGGGGATTCCCACTCTGAGGACAGAATTCAGGAGATCACATTGCAGGGGATTCCCACTCTCAGGACAGAATTCAGGAGATCACATTGCAGGGATTCCCACTCTGAGGACAGAATTCAGGAGATCACATTGCAGGGGATTCCCACTCTGAGGACAGAATTCAGGAGATCACATTGCAGGGGATTCCCACTCTGAGGACAGAATTCAGGAGATCACATTGCAGGGGATTCCCACTCTGAGGACAGAATTCAGGAGATCACATTGCAGGGGATTCCCACTCTCAGGACAGAATTCAGGAGATCACATTGCAGGGGATTCCCACTCTGAGGACAGAATTCAGGAGATCACATTGTATGATTTGTAAAGAATGTATTTGTCTCGCACGGCTGAACAGAAGTATTTGAAACCCTGAGAAGCAGCAAGAATTCTGGCTCTCAGAGACCTGTTACTGCGCCTTTATAAAGCCCCCCTCTACTCCACTCATTCATCTCACTTAGTAGCACCTGTCTGAGCTCTATAAAGACACCTGTCCACCCCACAGTTAGTCAGATGCCAACTACTACCATGGGCAAGACCAAAGAGCTGTCAAAAGACACCAGAGACAAAACTGTGGACCTCCACAAGGCTGGAAAGGGCTACGGGGCAATTGCCAAGCACCTACAATGTGAATGTCAGACCCTCCATGATGGAGAAGTGGGAGAACTTGCAGAATCGCAGGGGGTTCAAATACTTCTGTTCCTCACTGTACTTATTGTTCATATCTGCCCGGAGTTCGGTGATGAGGGTGGGCTCTTGAAATGTAAATCCTGGCATGGTTTTGAAACAACATATATGGAGTTGCAAAAAAAAGATTGCAAATGCTATATAGAGGTCCTTTGACTCGAATAATCTCCTCTGATAGGATTGCCAAATGTAGCCAACCAGATTGTTTCTCTTCTCTCCAGAGGGGGGGGGATGAAAGGAAAAGCAAGAAAACTCTTCTACAAGTCAATTGTGCGGGGGAAGGAGACCTTGCATGTGGGCGAATGTGCAGTTTTCCTGTCGGCCGGACGCCCAAACCTGCCCTACATTGGACGCATCGAGAGCATGTGGGAATCCTGGGGCGGCAATATGGTGGTGAAAGTCAAGTGGTTTTACCATCCTGAAGAAACGAAACTGGGCAAAAGGCACAGCGATGGCAAAGTAAGAATCTAGTGATGTTCAATTGAGCTCTTTAAGGATTGTCTAGTCGAAGGCCAACACCACCCAAAACCCATCTCAGCCTGAGTAAGAAAGACATGTTGTCTGTGAACATACGACTGTCTAGGTTGGTTGGAGCTTGGCCGTAAAGGGCAGCTTCACTCACTCGTAGGCGTAATAACCCCTCCAACATCTAAAACGGCCTTTCTCAATAAAGCTTCTGTGGAACCCTTGGGTTCCTCCAGAGGTTCCCAGGGGCTCCTTGAGCAATGGGCAATTTAAGCCTCTCAGATAAGTAGCCACTGACACCAATGGTCTTTTTATCTATCTATACAGTGGCTAAATGGTTAGCACTTCTGCCTGGCAGTACTCTGGTCGTTGGTTCAAATCCCAACCACGGTGCCACCTGCCTGGAATTTGCATGTTCTCTCCTGTGCCTGTGTGAGTTTCCTCTGTGTACTCCGGTTTCCTCCCACACTCCAAAGACATGCTGGTAGGTTAATTGGCTCCTGTCTAAATTGGCCCTAGTATATGTATGTATGAATGTGAGTTAGGGACCTTAGATTATATGCTCCTCGGGGGCGGGGACTGATGGGAATGTACAATATATATGTAAAGGGTTACCAAAATTGATGGTGCTATATAAGTACCTGAAATAAAGGTGAATTATTCCCAGTGGCCACAAGGTTGGTTTGAGCTGAACCTTAACGGCCATCTTCACAACCCCTCCAACATCTAGTACAACCTTTCTGAACTAGGGGTCCTCCAGAGGTTGCCAAGGGTTCCTTAAGCTAGGGGCAAATCAAGCCTCTCAGATAAGTAACCACTGACACCAATGGTCTTTTTATCAATCTATAAGGGGGAGTTATTCCCCAGTGGCCATAAGGTTGGTTGGAGCTTGGCTGTAAAGGCCAGCTGCACTCACTAGTAGACTTTATAACTCCTCCAACATCTAGATCAGCCTTTCTCAAAGAAGGGTTTTATGGAACCCTGGGGTTCCTCCAAAGGTTGCCTGTAGGGTTCCTTGAGCAATGCCTCTCAGATAAGTAACCACTGACACCAATGGTCTTTTTTTTTCTATCTATAAAGGTGAATTATTCCCAGTGGCCACAAGGTTGGTTTGAACTGGACCTTAACGGCCAGCTTCACTCACTAGTAGACTTTATAACCCCTCCAACATCTAGTACAACCTTTCTGAACTAGGGGTCCTCCAGAGGTTGTCAAGGGTTCCTTAAGCTAGGGGCAAATCAAGCCTCTCAGATAAGTAACCACTGACACCAATGGTCTTTTTATCAATCTATAAGGGGGAGTTATTCCCAGTGGCCACAAGGTTGGTTGGAGTTTGGCCGTAAAGGCCAGCTTCACTCACTAGTAGGTTTAATAACTCCTCCAACATCTAGAGCAAATTTCTCAAGTAAGGGTTTTATGGAGCCCTAGGGTTCCTCCAGAGGTTGCCTGTAGGGTTCCTTGAGCAATGGGCATTTCAGGCCTCCCAGATAAATAACCCCTGATACCAGTCATCATTTTATCTATCTATATGGAGGGGGGTTATTCCCAATGGGCACAGATGTAAGTAGCCCCCTCCCCTGTGATAATCACACCAATGTACAGTGAGCTGTAGGTAGTCATTATTAGAAGGGGCCTAAAAAGTCACTACAAGGGTTCCTCCATGTTAGTTTGAGGTCCGGTCTGGTCTGCCTTGGACAGTCCATTGTTCTGATTTCTCTAGTTTGCTCCTTCTGGACCTGCAATGACCATCTATAATGGTGTTACTATCAAAAATCTCGAAAAGTTGTAGGCCTGTTTTATGTTTTGTAGAGTTCACTAGGAGAGGGTTCCACCATATTTTGGCTTTGTAATGTCCCAACAGTTGGACTAAGCCGGGGGTTTTGTTGGGAATATCCCAACCTTGGAGTCCTGAAGATATAAGAAGTCAGAATGGTGGTGTCCATTTTGTCAGATGTACCTACCATGAATGATTTACATCGCAGACCAATCCCCTCAACCACAAGGCAACCCTGAGAGAGGGTCATGTTCTGGACCCTTCACAATCAGGGGCGGACTGACCATTTGGAAACGCAGGCACTGCCCAAGGGCCCGGGGTCAGTAGGGGGCCCCATGAGATGCCCCTGGTACCTTTTTCATAGGCTGTTTTGAGTTTGGGCAAGGACACAGGGGCCACATGATCCCCTATTGCCCAGGGGCCCCATGCGCTGTCACTCCGCCTCTGTTCACAATCATGTTGGCGCAGGGGTCTTCAGTCATCCTCCATAGCCATCTGTCTGAGTTCTGGTGCACTTGAGTTAGGATTTGCCCTTTGTCACATGACTTTCTCAATGCGTTTTCCTGAGTAACTTCTGTTCTTTTCCCCGCCCGCAGAACGCATTGTACCAGTCGTCGCACGAGGATGAAAATGACGTACAGACAATCTCACACAAGTGCCAGGTGGTGAGCCGCCAGCAGTATGAAAAGATGAGCCACAGCAAGCGCTACCAGGACCGGCAAAACCTCTATTACCTGGCAGGGACCTATGACCCGGGAACTGGGAGGCTGGTGACCGCAGAGGGTGTGCCGGTGCTGTGCTGAAATGCCACTCGGGAGTTAACTGAGGGGGGAAGGGTATCACTCTTACTAGACAGCACTTCGCACCATCGGTAGCATGTACCAATCCAGAATCCTCGATTTACACGATCGTTCACATCCACCAACCCTCACAGAAACGAATACGCACAATTCCCGGCCACCTAAGAGGCGAACAACGCGTGGAACCGCCACGCAAACACTAACCCAAGACCACGGCCTCCTGATGCCCCTCCGGGAGTGGCACGGACTCGGGCCGTTCCTGAAATCAGTCGATCTTTCTCCGTTAGGGAGATCCGGTTACACATTTCTGATCAGGTTTGACGCTCCATGATGTACGAGGCATTGGGGGCACCCCACACTAAAGAACTGTCGCTCGGGCCTCTTCACACCACAGTGACTCTTTATATTCCTTTTTGTTTCATTTTTATTTCCTTTTAGTAAAAACCTCAGTGATGTTATCACAGATGTGTCCAGATGTCGCCACACACCAGACAATCGTAGAAGACCAGATCTCTGACTGTCCAACTTTGTGTTCTCCATAATTCTCTGAAGGCACAATTGCACAGGTTCTGTTGCTTGGGCCATTTTTAAGCCGATGTTTTTGAAGAGCAAACATTTTTTTAAAAAATTGGTTTGTTCCTTCGGGCAATCGTCTAGACGACAGAAACATTTCAAACTCTACAGGAGCCGTATGTCTCTCCTTGGACCTCTTTCAATCATGGTCCAAAAATCCAAATCTTTGAATAGATTATTTTGGATTCATTTTGATACTGGTCCAAAAATCGATATTTTTTTGGGATCTATTTTGATATTGGTCCAAAAATTTCAATCTTCAAATATTTTGTTTTTTTAGATTCATTTTAGAATTTATAAAAAAAAAAAATCTGATATTTTTTACATTAAAATTAATGTATGTATTGTTCCAAAAATCAGAATCTTTGAAGAGATGTTTTTGGATCCACGCTGACATTTGTCCAAGAAAAGGAATCTTTGAATGATTGATCTTTGGATCTATTTTGATATTGGTCCAAAAATTTAAATCTTTAAATATTTGTTTTTTTTAGATTCATTTTAGAATTTAATAAAAAAAAAATCTGATTTTTTACATTAAAATTAATGTATGTATTGTTCCAAAAATCTGAATCTTTGAATAGATGTTTTTGGATCCACGCTGACATTTGTCCAAGAAAAGGAATCTTTGAATGATTGAGCTTTGGATCTTTTTTGATATTGGTCCAAACATTGAAAGATTTGAATAGATTTTTTTTATTTTTTATATTGGGTCAAAAATCAAAATCTTTAAATAGATTCATTTTAAAACTGGTCCAAAGAAATCTGAATTTTTACAGTTTAAAAAAAATTTTGTATTGTTCAAAAAATTTGAACTTTCGAATATGTTTTTGGATCCATGTTGAGGAATCGTGGAATGACTAATTTTTGGATCTGTTTTGATGTTGGTCCAAAAATGTAAATCTTTAAATAGATAGTTAGATCCATCATGAAATTGGCCCAAGAATCCTAACTTTAGAATGGATTGTTTTAAATTCCTGTTTGTTGTGCTTCAAAAATCAGAATCTTTGAATAGATTCTTTTAGATCTTTTTAGATATTGATCCAAAAATCAGAATGTCTGACAGATTTTTTTGGATCTATTTTGATATTGGTCCAAAAATTGAAATGATTGAATTGATGGTTTTCGGATCTATTTTGACATTGCTCAAAAATTTTTTAAATAATTTAATAGATTTTGGATCTTTTTTTGATCTTGATCCAAAAATTAAAACGATTGAATTGATGGTTTTTGGATCTATGTTGACATTGGTCCAAAATGTAAATCTTTAAAATAGATGTTTTTTGGATCCATCTTGAAATTGGTCCAAGATTCTTCATTTTTTAATAGATGGTTTTACATTCCTGTTTGTGATGCTCCAAAAATTGGAATCTTTCAATAGATGTTTTTAGGTCTCTGAAGATTTCGTTTCCTGGATGAATATCTAAAAAGACTGATTTTTTTTTTTACGAGTTTTAACATTGGTCCAAAAAATCTGGAATTTTTTTTTTTTTTTTTTTTTTTTTTACAAGTTTTAACATTGGTCCAAAAAAAAAGAAATCAGGATTTTTTTTTTCAAATGAATGGTTTTTGGGCAAGTTTTGATAATAGTAAAAAAAAAAATCTGAATTTTTGAATAGGTGTTTTTGAATTTTGAGGCCGGTGTTGAACAAATTTGACGGACAAAATGGTGCAACCAATCCTGTGCAGTCGAGCCTTGCTAACATCTCGTTTTTTGTAGCCAACTTGGCCGATTTCCCCCCCCAACTCTCGATCGTTGCAGAGCAATGTATCTTCCAGAACAAATGCAAGACCGAACCCCGGAGGGAAGGGCTACAGGCAGCAAATGCTGGGATCGCCCTTTATTTGATTCCTGCCCAAAAATAGGTCTGCTCCTTAACAGTTTACAGTATTAATTTTTTTTTTTTTTTTTTTTTTTTTTACTTCAACCTCAGAGAACAGTTTCTGGTCAGGTGGTACAATGTAGCACTTCAGAACACTACATAAAAAAAAAACATACTACAGGAAAATGTCTAATAAACCACGGGGTGCTTATAATTTAAGGCACTTAACAGTATTTGCAGACGAAAAAAATACTGAATTACACGGTGCCCAAATTATACCGCTTTCACACACGGAGCATTAAAACTGCTGTGAAACTTTGTTTTTTATTTTTTGCCTTCAGGCTGCTCAAAAAAAAAAAAAAAAATGTCCTCAACATTTTGTCGATTCTGAGATGCACGTATCAAACTGGTTTCTTTCCTAGCAAAACTGCTACATCCATCTTTTTTTTTTTTTTTTTCCATTAGTTTTTTTTTTTTTTTGTAATTATTTGTTTTTTTTTTTTTTTTTTTTTCTGGGGAGGGAAGGGCGTGTTTATTTGTATTATTCCTAATTTATCTTCAACAGCCTCAAGTTTCAAGCCATATTCTCCCCAGTACCTCTTTCAGCTTTTCTTCCCGAAAGGCAAGATCAGGTGTAATAATTATCTATTTATTCACTGTGTAAATACAGAACTTCTTTTGGAAAGTTTTTATTAACAAAACAAAAAGTACAAAAAAAAAATCCTCAAAAAAAAATTTAAAAAAACTCGACGGGGGGGGGAAAAAAAAAAAAACAAAAAACCTTATTTTGCTGTCGCTAAAGTATAAATTATGCACTGTGTCCTCTTGGCAAGGCTGGGAATATTAGGAATTATGTATAATTTGTAATTATATCGGGAGTTGAAGAAAGTAAAAAAAAAAAAAAAAAAAGCACTTGGGGTCTAGGCAGGGACTTGAAGGGGGCAATGAGAGACAATTTAAATATCTTAAAAATAAAAATCGTCACATTTAAATGCTTTTATTGTTAAAAAAACAAAAACAAAAAAACACCAAATTCCTGAAAATATGTAAATAGATTTGTCTGAAATATTTTTTTTTGTGTTGTTTAAGACATTTTTTAAGGAAAAAAAAGTAAAGAAAATGTATTGGGAATGTCAATATGGTCCGATGGAATAAAAAGGGAAAAATTATTATATAAATATATATTATATAAATTAAGAGTGGTTTGGTCTTTTTTTTTTAAGCCTTCGATGACGGATTCTACGCATTTTCACGTATTATTATTTTTTTATCAGTGGTCAGATATTATATTATGAGGATCTAATAATTTGCTATGAAGTTCTATAGGCTTTCTTGGATGGTTAGACAAAGGTGGCTTTTTAATTTTTAATTAATTTTTAATGATTAATTTAGACATTGAAATCTCTACACGTGCGTTCCCAGCTCCACCCCCTTGCTGTGGCCATAGGCAGGGTAATGATATTTTAAGACCTGGATTTTTTTTCGGTGAAATTACAAAGAATTTCAGGGGTGTGATTAGACTTCAGTAATGGAGTCCAGGAAATACAAACAGGGAATGTGAAAATAGAAGGTCTGCTTCACTTACACCTCCCCGCCCCCCACCATCACCCAAAATATAAATGGACTTGTAAGGCATTAAAAACCAAAGCTTATGCAAAAACAATTAAAAAAGAAAAAAAAAAAACTTCAGCTTTCCATGCTTTGGGAGGTGCCGGTGATGCCATGGGGGGGTCCCAGTACAGTTTGGTGCTCAAAACCCCTTTAGAATAGGTTCACGCCTATAAGAAGAGCACAGCGTTGTAGCATTTTGGGCGTCAAGGACTTTTTAGGCCATTAAAACCCACCCCAAGCAGAAAAAAGAAAATTCTGAAAATACCTCACCCCAGCTTTCCATGTTTTGAGGAGTGCTGGTGATGCCACAGGGGTCCCAGTGCCGTTGGGTGTTCAAAACCCCTTGAAAATAGGTTCAAGCTTATACCAAGAGCACAGCGTTGTAGCATTTTGGGCGTCAAGGCCTTTTAGGCCATTAAAACCCACCCCAAGCAGAAAAAAGAAAATTCTGAAAATACCTCACCCCAGCTTTCCATGTTTTGAGGAGTGCTGGTGATGCCACGGGGGTCCCAGTGCCCTTGGGTGCTCAAAACCCCTTGAAAATAGGTTCAAGCCTATAGCAAGAGCACAGCTTGTAGCATTTTGGGCGTCAAGGACTTTTTAGGCCATTAAAACCCACCCCAAGCAGAAAAAAGAAAATTCTGAAAATACCTCACCCCAACTTTCCATGTTTTGAGGAGTGCTGGTGATGCCACGGGGGTCCCAGTGCCGTTGAGTGTTCAAAACCCCTTGAAAATAGGTTCAAGCCTATAGCAAGAGCACAGCTTGTAGCATTTTGGGCGTCAAGGACTTTTTAGGCCATTAAAACCCACCCCAAGCAGAAAAAAGAAAATTCTGAAAATACCTCACCCCAGCTTTCCATGTTTTGAGGAGTGCTGGTGATGCCACGGGGGTCCCAGTGCCCTTGGGTGCTCAAAACCCCTTGAAAATAGGTTCAAGCCTATAGCAAGAGCACAGCTTGTAGCATTTTGGGCGTCAAGGACTTTTTAGGCCATTAAA